ACTAAACCTCTGAAACTGCAAGCCAGCCCCCAATTAAGTACTTTCTCTTATAAGAATTGTCCTGGTCATGACATCCCTTCACAGCAATAGGTCAGCAACTGAGACGCTGATGAAGTTTACCGCCACAACTCATAAAAAGTCTAGAATCTGAGGCTGCCTTTACAAAGCTTCAAGGAATGAGAAAGGCAACTCCGGTTCCTCCAAAGTAAGAAGAATCCTGGTTTTTCCGGAAATATGGAATTGCAACAGACGGATCCCAAATTGAAGGTCAAGCCCTGGAGAGAGAAATGCAAAGAAAATGGCAAAGAAAAAGGTGATTTCAGTGAAGCCCAGCTCAAGGGAAGCGGGGAACCTCAGGAGGGAAAAGACGCTCTACCCCGGGAATCAGACTGCCCTGTGGCACTTCCCACAGTCTTTCTTGAACACCAGAACCAAACTACACACCATTTTCTTAGTAAATGTCACTGGTGGTTGCTCAATGGTGAGAGCGGCAGCTTCTTTGTTGGTTTAGATACATGTTTTTGGATCTTCCCTGACACTCTGAGAACAAATGAATTGCCTGAATCAGAACACATTCAGCGTACCTTTGTTTGGTGCCCCATGTTCATCAGGAGCACCTTCCTAGGAGCCAGGGGATGAGGTTTGATTGATGTCCCAGGCAGTACTTGAAGAAGTATCGCTGGGTAGTATGCCTGTCTCTTAAGCACAGAAGCATTGGCACAGCACTAACAAGCTTCTAGCACTGCGAGCCAGGATGTTCCAGAGAGGATGAAACTTACTGGTTTATAAGAATCCTCGGTAAGGAGCTGTTGGAGGACACAGGAAACACCAGTCAATCAGACAAACGAGCTGGAAAACTGATGTTGACTGAGGTCCAACTGCAGCCCTCCCTATAGCGGGCATTTTCCATTCCCAGCCCCCTCTTGGAAATTAGACAAGTACATCATCATAATTAGCCCCTGTATGCCTGGAACTTCCCTTCTAGAAGTCTCTACATTATCAGCTACTCCAGCTTCATTTTGATGTCTTCTTTCTATTTAGGCCAGTGGTTCTCAACCTTCCTAATGCTGTGACCCTTTAATACAGTTCCTCATGTTGTGGTGACCCTAACCACAAAATTATTATGCTACTTTATAATTGTAATTTTGCTACTGTTATGAATCTTAATGTAGATATCTCTGCTTTCGGATGATCTTAAGCAACCCCTGTGGAAGGGTTATTCATTTCCCAAGGGGGTCGCAACCCACAGGTTGAGAACCACCCATGTAGACACTCCTGCATGACAAGCAAAACTATTCAACTATAGACTCCAAAAATGCAGTATTTTGTTTTTAACAGTGGACAGTGGTTCCTGCAGAGGCTTGTAGGTGGTCAAAATGCTGAGACTATGTGACTGTTGAACGTTTGGCCCTAAACAGGACATCTCTAGTACTGAATTCAAGGCTCAGAGAACATCACAGAATAAGAGGTGTAAAGAACCTGAAAGTGAGCTGGAGGACAGAGTGGAAAGCCGTAGGATGCTGTCCTCTAGGCATGACCCGGGCCATTGCACCCCTGAACTTTCCGCTGCTGTGGTTGCCTGCACAAGACCGGGCCTGTCAACGCTCTGCCATGGAGGAAAAGAGACCTCACAAGCCCTGTAGGCAGTTAATGTTTGCTTGGAAAGGAAGACGTTTCCTTCGGTGCCACTGGTGAGTCGCTGGTGTTCCTGTAAATAACCCTAATTAAAATCATCAGTTGGTTCATCAAGGAGAAAAAGACCCAAAAGAACAAAGAGAACTAGCTGGAAAGGGGAAAGGGAACAGGCAGTAGGGTGCAGGGCAGAGACGTAATGGGATGAATATCACTAAAATACATTATATGTATGAAAATGTCATAATGAAACCCATTATTATGTATAAGTAATATATGCTAACTAGAACTTAATTCCTGTCTTGAAAAACCAAAAAAAAAGATTTATTTATTTTTATGCGTATTGATATTTTGCCTGCATGGATGTCTGTGCAAGGGCGTTGGATCCTCTAGAATTAGAGTTACAGACAGCTGTGAGTTACCATGTGAGTGCTGGGAATTGAACTTCCAGGTCCTCAGGAAGAGCAGCCAGTGCTTTTAACTTCTGAGCCATGTGTCTAGCCTCAATTTAAATGCTTTTTATTAAGCATAACAGAATTTAGCTGGTGTGTAGTCATTTCATTTCTAGCAGAAACCATACTCTTTCCAATTCACAGTTACGTGGTCTCTTCATGTAGTTACTGTGAGACGGGTGCTCTTCCTCATCCCCCCCAACACACACACACACACACACACACACACACACACACACACACACACACACACACACACCAAGGATGCTCTGTGTCTGTGCTGGGGAGAGGCAACTGTTGTCCTAGCTTCCAGGACATATGCTTGATCTTTGAGTCACCCCTCTACCCTAACAGGCTCCACTGAGAGGTACATCCTCTTGTCCGGTCCTCACCACTCCTCACCCTGCTTCAGCTTTTCCCAGGAAGTGCGCACATACTGTCCCCTCCCTTTACAATCCTACCTGCTTTTTCCCAGCCACTTCTGCAGTCCTTATGGGACTCTAATATAGCCTTTCCCTCTCTAGGGAGCACAGGATTGGTGAGGCGCCAAGAAGCTGTCCTCAGACCTGCCAACTAGGCTTCCCCAGCCATTGCCCTTCTTCCTCTCAGGGCCCTGTTAGAGACAGATCTTCTGGGCCTTTCAGCTCTGTCCAGGAAGAGGGGTACACATGGGGCTCTTTTCAACCCACTTACAGCATCAACTGCCCAACCTCGTCCCCTCAACCATAATTCAGGCCAGGACAATGAAGCTGCTGAAGACAGAGCTCTTCCGAGACACAGCAGACACCTCCATCCTAACAATATCGCTGTGTTTTTCCTCCTTCTCCCAGCTGGTCACATTTTTATCTCGGGAAAATAAATTATGTCATCCTGCCTTCTCAAATTTCAGCTCTCTAGACTCTGTCTCTTGATATTTAAAGGCAAGCTTTTAATTTTTTTTTTAATTTGTCTAAAGGATCAGCTTTAAGACTACTGTTTATGCTTAGCAAAGAAGATTCAGTCCCAAGACAAGATAGTTACCCCACCTACCTCAGGATGTCTCTGGCAGCCTGGCTCCCCAAGGGTGTCTTCCCAGAAGATATTGTCCTGGTCATTCCATTCTAGGGAGCAACCCTATCCCAGGTAACCCATCCACAGCTGTTGGAATCTGTATTTGGTGCAAGCAGAACAGGGCTTCTCTGAAAGCTGTCCCAGGGCCTTCAGACTGTTAAGGCCGCAAGGTGACTTGTTTCTGTAAGCTGAGAGAAATAGAAAACAAGACTTTAAGATGGACAGGCTCTCAGCACACAATTTTTAAAAACTAAGGAAAGAAAAAAAAAAAGGAGAAAACCAGGCCCTTTGAATCTGCAGCAGAAGTGAGGAATTGGCAAAGAAAAAGCGCCCCATGAGACAGAAGACGCCCCTCATCTGTTGTTCAGACACTCACTATTCCTCTTCAGCCTCCCCTGTACCCATCATTTGTCTGTTTTTATTTTCTACCTTAACATAAAAAAATGTGATTTTTTGAAAATACATCTATCAAATAAAATCATGTTCATGTGCCCCAGCTTTATGAGTCTTTTCAGATACTTGTGACAGTTCCATCTTTAACAATTATAGCTCAGGAAATTGAAATAGAGTATCCCCGGAAGTCAGAGAGCAAGCAGTGTGTGTGTCCCTTCACAGCTCCTCAGGATCCCACAGAGGCATGGCTTAATGTTTCCAACTTGCTAAATGTCACAAGAGATATTTTGGTTTGGCAAGTGAAGAATATCCAGAAATGGGAGGAACTGGAGTGAAATATGGAATTATTCCTCAGGGTCTTTGAAAACCAGGGTGTCTTATCCTCACAAAAGAAGAACCGGCCTCCTCCCCTGGCCTGAGACTGCCAGTCAGTGCTGCCGGGTTTCTCTGAGAGCTGAGAACAGAGCCCTGCTACCTGGTGCTCACTTGCCATTTCCAGGAATCCTGTAATAGCAATGCTATGAGGAGCCAACTGTGCACCTTGAGACCTGTTCAGCTGCTCCCTGGGGCTCCACAAATTAGACCCTGAAGTAGCCACACAAAGCCTGGTAGCCAACCATGTAGATATGTGCAGAATGGGTAAATAGCCCCTGGAGTCAGCCAGGGTCAGTATTTCAGGCAAGATGCTCTGGAAAGGATTTCAAAAGAAGGATGGTCAGAATGACCATTGCAAGAGATTTGGTAGTGGTGTCTTAGTTCCTCATGAATTTGAGGAAGGGTGTGTGTGTGTGTGTGAGTGTGTGTGTGTGTGTGTGTGTGTGTGTGTATGTGTGTGTGTGTGTGTTGGATATGAGTGTGATATATGGAGGTTTGGGAGCGTGGGTGTATAGAAATGTTCTGTGGAACTTTGTGGGAATTCTGTGACATCTAGGCTCCTTAAGAATCTAGACTCTTTTTTGGAGCCCGGTGCCTATGGTGGGAGACTTTGCACAGCTTTGGTGCAGGGAGGAGGGGCTTGGACCTGCCCCAACTGAATGTACCAGGCTCTGCTGACTCCCCATGGGAGACCTTGCCTTGGAGGAGGTGGGAATGGGAGGGTGGGAGGAGGGAGGAGAGGGGAATGTGTGGCTGGTATGTAAAATGAATAGAAATTTTTTTTTTTTTTTTTGGTTTTTCAGGGTTTCTCTGTGTAGCTTTGCGTCTTTCCTGGAACTCACTCTGTAGTCCAGGCTGGCCTCGAACTCACAGAGATCTGCCTGCCTCTGCCTGTGCCACCACCACCCAGCTAGAAAATCTCTTAATAATAATAATAAAAAAGGTATATAATAAACATATAATATGCAATATGCTCAAAAAGATTGAAACATTTTAGAATAAAGCTATTATATAGATTTAAAAAAAAAAAAAGAATCTAGACTCTTCCAAAGAGTATTTGTGTTTCCTCGTGACAAGCACCTAGAGGGACAACCAATGCCAAGATTGTTTAAACTACACTTGTGAGTTATGACTTCTGGGATTAGAAAGATTGTGTGAAAGCCAGGCAGTGGTGGTGCACGCCTTTAATCCCAGCACTCGGGAGGCAGAGCCAGGCGGATCTCTGTGAGTTCAAGGCCAGCCTGGTCTACAGCATGAGATAAAGGACAGGCACCAAAACTACATGGAGAAACTCTGTCTCGAAGAAAATATATATATAATATATATATATATTGTGTGAGTGTTAATCCTGTCTGTGCAGGAGGGTGGGCATGGGGTTAGACATTCCCAGAGTAATTTTTTTCTTAGGACACTAAGCAACTAGCCTTTGATGGCATCAGGGAGGTGACTCAGTAGAGTGCTGGCTGCAGACAAGTGAGGAATGAGTTCAGACCCCCAGAACCCATGTGACAGACCAAGAGGTGGCAGTGAATGCTTGCAGTCCCAGCAATGTGGAGACAGGAAGACCCATGGAGCCCACTAGTCACACCGCCTAGCAGAACTGCTAACCTCCAGTAGAGCGAGAGACCCTGTTTCAAAAAAAACAAACAAACATGGAGGGGTTAGAGAGATGGCTCAGTGATCAAGAGCACTGGCTGCTCTTCCAGAAGACCCAGGTTCAATTCCCAGCACCCACATGGCAGCTCACAACCGTGAGCTGACACCCTCACAAGACATACATGCAAGCAAAATACCAATGTACATAAAATAAGAATAAATAAATTTTTTAAAAAGGTGGAGAGTAACTGGGGAAAATACCTGATGTCAGCCTCTGGCCTATACTCATACATATATGCATACCTGCATGTATACTTCCACACACATGTATACGCACACAAACACAAAAGAAACTAGCCTTTGAAGGTCCTGGTAACTTTATGTGGGGGTCTCAGTCCCACTGTACTTTGATCTAAGATAGCTTTGACTGAAGTAGTACTGTGGACGTTTCACTTTGAAACTCACACTCCCCACCACCATCAGTGGGAAGTTAGCTTTCTCCGCTCATGTTTCTTATCATTGTCAGACTCCAGAGTTTCTGCAACGTCCCTGCCAATTCTTTCATGCATTTAGAAGATGGATTTTTTTAATTTCATTAGCATTTGAAGATAGCCTCTATGAAGAATCATTTAGTCTATCATATGACTAGATGCAAATATTAACTTTAGTACTTTACAATTGAAATAACTTATTCCAAATATGAATAAATAAAGCATGTAAGGCACAGCCATGTTAATAACTCTACAAATCATAAAGGAAAAAGCTTTTGCCATCTCTGACAGTCAACTCGGAAAAATGCATACACAGGTAATACACACACACACACACACACACACACACACGCACACGCACGCACATGCACGCACGCCTGCATGCACACCGTGTTTTCTGAAGATGAACACAGCAGATTCCCCCATCCCATGGACTTCTTTACAGTGTGTTTGGGCGCTCCTCTCAACAGCAGTCCCCGGGTCTCCTTGTTTTGAAACGAGGTGTGTAGAACAGCTATGAATCTTCATGACTCACAAGGTGAAGTCCTGTAGACACCATACACTTCTGCTTTGCTCCCTTGGGGGACTTGCTCCTCATACCCAGTTGCTAAGTTATGAGGAAGCCCTATCTGCCCCTCCCACAAAGGGTTGAGTTGTCGGTTGAGGGTACAAGTTTCTGTAAACAACTCTACCTCCTGATCATCAGACTGTGTTCTCTTCCTCTAAGAGTATACACACCATGGAGCAGAGGTCATCTCAACTGTGCAGAGTTTGGACAGAATAAAAGCTTTTCTATGCCACTCAGTGCTGCATGGTTTATTACACAGCAATACTAAGTGAGATTTAATGAAAAAAGTATGTAGAGTTCGACTTCTCCACTTAACTGTTTCATGACTAAATAATCATTTGTGTACACCTCTGTTTTCATATCTAACTGCAAACAATGTCCTTGACAGCAGCAATGACAATAACAACAACATTGGCCTATCTACTTCACAGGGCCATTGAAATAGGAAAAGTACTTTTAAAACTGTGAAACACTATTAAAAATATAGATTATTTCCATTTCTGGCTTGTTCTTTCCATTTCTGGCATGCTATTGGAACATCTTTGCTGAAGCAGAACCTAAACCTGGCCGTAACTTCTACCTATAGCTTTCCCTGGAAACCAAGAAACAGGCTTAATTCTTCCTCTGCCTCACACTAACTTCAGAAATGGACGATAGTCCCCACTGTCTTCAGATACCCAAGCTGCCTTCAGCTTTGATGTTCAAAAGTCTTTGTACTCAGCTTCATGATGTTCAAAAGTCCCCTACAACCTTGTGTTGCGTGGTTCTAGGCTGTGCCTTGCTGGGCTTCTGTGAAGGTTCTCTTGACCTCTTCAGGTCTCTGGATTGCTCCATTGGAGACTGAAGAGTGCATCAAAGAGGGAAGCGGGCTGAATCTGCAGCCTATGCCCAGTGCCAGACTACTGTCCCATCCACAGTTCCATCCACATCCCTAGCTTACTTCTGCTCCTCTCCTGCTCTTCTTTTAATAGACTATTAAATGGGCCTTGTGGAACACAACAGACAAAAGAGCATGGTAAGGCCCGCCCAAACTTGGATACTGGTGAGACCTCACTTACTAACCGTAGCTAGTAAAGGGTACACTAGACACTTTTTAAACTCCCTTTCCTTTGGAAAGAAAAAGGAAAAGAGGGCATCACTGTCACACAGACTCCTGAGAGACAGAACTTAAAACAGCAAGGTGTTTCTTCCAAGCTCTTTTAGACGTTTGTCATCAAAACCTTTCTCAGAGAAGAGGAACCACAGTCGGTAGATAGTGTGGGGATAGACCCAACGAGGGCCAAACAGTCCAGCTCACTTAGCTCTGTCAGGCATGGCATGAAAATGTAGAACAATGGTTTCATGTTTTACAGTTGTCAAGTACTGAGCAGGAAAAAAAGGATCTGAACAGCACGAGGGAAGACAACTTGACAATAGGTGTGAACAAGTGAAACCAAGAAAAGGAAAAACTAAGGTTGAGCGTTAGGAGAACCCAACACATGCTCCACTCTCCCGTGGGTGGCTCTGGACACTTACTGTGGATAATAACCTTTGTTGGGACAGTAACATGAGCTTGCCATGTTTCTCTTGCTTCATCTTTAGCTTTTGTGATTATTTATAATAATACACACACAAGATAATGTTCAAACCCTCCCACAGTCGTGAAAATCCCTTTCTGAAAGCTTGCTTTATCTTTTAATTAATACCAAAAGCAATTAAGTCGTGGTGTGCTCCCATTACCTGCCAAGTTTAGTTATTTATAAAACATAAGAACAAGGTTTCAGAT